CCCCAAAACCCCAAAACCCCAAGAGCAGACATTCAAATTAAATATTCGCTTCATTTTCTAATGATAGTTAATTTGTTTTCATAATTAGTTTGGATTTTAATCAAGTTTCACAGGCCTTAAATTTCCTGGATTTAATCACATATTTTTAGGGCCGTATGAAATTATGAAGGATCTTATTCTTTGGGGTTCAAGGGCAATAGCTTGATTACCCTTATCAAGAGCTAATTTCTTATCATTGATAATAGAATCATCGACTGTTTTCCAAACAAATTTATTCTTTATCATTTGATCTTATGGTTGATTAAGAGTCAATGTGACCTCATGAATATTGACAAACTCCTTCTTTCCGATATCTTAACCTTGGTTGGCTAATTTGTACAAGAGATGAGCGTATTACTCAAGGTTAAAGTAGGTTACATTTTAAACTGCATCTAATAGATCAAAGTTGTCAGCAATGTTTTCAATTCTGATAATTACTCTCATATGGTCTTTATAGAGCATCACAATCTTACCTGTCTCGGGTAGTCCAAGACTTTATAATTCTGTGCTGTTTGGTAATCTAATATGTTGAATATCAGAAACATCAAGGCGTGTTTCAAGTGAATGGTCAAAATTAAAGAAGTACTATAATGGATCATCCTGATGAACCTAATGTAGTCTTTGAAGTGATTTTTCCTCCCTTCTGTTAAATAATTGCACCTAGTATCTGTTAAAGACTGAGATACCTCTGCCATATTGATCTGTTTCATTGAGTGGTTCTCCCATTCCTCTTGAGTCATCAAATAAAGTTCTTCTCGACTGCATGATCTCAATCCTGCCTGGTTCTAGAACACTGCCACCTTAGGATTTATCATTCATTATAGTCATCTAGTTGCCCTCTTCATCTCTAATTGCTATCGCAGTCTGAATTGGATAGTAGTTGCAAGAAGTGTTATCTGTTTAGTCCGTTAAATTCCAAGTTGGTCTATAACCAAGTATTCTTTTTTGCATCTCCAAACCGTTACTGTCAGTGTAAAAGGTATTATTGTTGTCCATATTTGACCAGAAATTAACAGTTACTTCAATTCCTTGTTCTCCAAGTGGGATTTCATTAATCTTAACATCCCAATGCATCAAAGGGTCATTTCTAAGATATCTGGCTTTCCCAACAGCAGATTAGTTTGTCTTATCATCCCAATATACGAAAGTCATTTATTAGACGATGTCTGATTTATACAATGAGATATTAGCAAGTTTGCTGTATCTGAAAGAAGAGGTGAAATTAGCATCTGGTCTAAATAGGTATGCACCGCTTCTTGAAATATCGTCTTAAGATGAGAGATAGTATCTGAAATCAAAAGCAAACTCATATTTCTGGTTGTATTCCAACTTATTAATTTCAAACTTCTGACCATGATTACTGTCTTCTGTTAGGAAGGTAAGACTTTCAATGTTGTTAGAAATTTAGCTTTAGCCATTGATGACATTCTATCTTTTTACCTGCAAGTTAATCTGGAAATTGTTCTTTAGCCAGATTAGTCCCATTTGCTAAGCATCTACTGTGGATTCAATGAAAAGTTGGCAATTATGCATAATATGACCATTCCATTGTGTCTCATCTTCACATATCACAGAGGAGTTAGCTATTTCATATTTTTACTTCAATGTGTTAAATGCTTTAACCTCCCAATGAGCATGGGGAACAGCTATTTGAATGTAGTTTTAAGGCTTCGTTGAAGGATTAAAGACTATCACAGCCATTGATATAGATTCATTAATGTGGTCATTGATGGGGCAATCCAAATAGGTGGAGTTTTCAAGAAGACATACTTTCCATTACTAACTTTTCAGCTAAGAGTCTATGCCATTTGCGATTTTCTCAATTATTCTTTCAACAACTGGATTATTTTTTGCCATAGCTTTGTAAATTTTCCAGGCATAATTATCAGCTACTCTTTGTCTTGAAGTGCCAGTTACCGCATCATGATGCTAATTAACACCCATGGCATCCAAGAAGAAATTCTGCGCTTGAGACATATTTCCTTGTAGAAGATTGTCTCTGTCATGGATCAAAGACTCAAGAGCGTACAATTTACCTGAGGAGTGCATCACATGAGATCCCCTTCTAATTTAGTCCTTTGAATTAGCTCTTGAGGTATAGTATCCAGTCCAGTAGCTCCACTAATCATCACCGTATGGGAAGCCGTCATCATATTTTGTAGTCCATTCAATGTTTTCTTATTTGATAGCATTAATATAAGCAGATGGTGTAGAATATGTAAGTGTGATGTTAGGATATCTTTTGTTAAAGTTGTAAATAAGTTTATCTAGTTGTAGGAAGTACATTCTCGCATTGTAGTAGTTGAAGTCATCACCGAAAAGCAAAATCATATTTTTTTAAGACTTGTAATACTTTCTTTGATTCATAACATATTGGTAAAACTAATCTATTCTTGATTCCATGTTGTAAGTTTCAAGTTCTGGATTGTCTTCAATAGGATCAGCACTACCATACATGTCAAAATTGAAGCCGCTTGGAGCAGAATAGTGCTGGAAAAGAGTATGAGAAAATATTTGAGCACTTTTGCCTAGGTAATCGAATGATGGTCTCCAGACAAATTCTAGTTCTGTATCATTCTATCTTCTATCCTTGTCTTAATAATCAAGTCTAGCGAAGAACCAAGCATCAAAACCCATTTCTGCGAAAAATCTAGCATTTGTGTTAGAATGGCCAAAAGGATCGATAGACCAGCCTATCTTTGGCTTGAATCCAAATTCTTGATCCAAAAATTTGTGACCATACATCATGTTTTCAATCATATCTTCAAAATGAGGGCAAGCTTCATCATGCATACTCCACCCACCATTTAGAAATTCAAGTTACCCATCTTTCACCAATTTCCTTACCTTATCTTACATTTCGTGAGTCTGCTCATAAAACCAAAGAGAGAAAAACTTCATCTCAACATATGAGAATCTTTTCTTAGAGTCTCTTAATAATTCTTGTATCATTCCATCAATGACAACTCTGACCCCTGCTTTGTAGTCCCTTTATCTTGATCCTGAATAAAACTCATCAACCGTCTTAATCCATCCCACATCATCATGGGTATGAGGAATAATGTGAACTGTAAATTGATTAGAGCCCTTATCCTCAGTTAATCCTTGCTTCTAAAATTCAATTAAGAGAATACTATTTTTACAGATTTGTAAATTTTTTCAAACTAGCTGCCAAAATTGCGGAAGAGATTCCCTTTAACAGTTAAACTTGAAAAAGTCAAAAGTGCAGAAATAGCTAATATTTGAAGGTACTTCATTATTTTATAATAAATATCCTTTTTGATTAATAAATACCCATTAAGATTTCGAAATACTCAAATATTTTGAACAATGGGGTTTTGGGGTTTTGGGGTTTTGGGG